AAGTTTTAAAAGTGTATAAGAAAATGTTTTGGTGTGTGATAAAGTTAAAGTTGACTATTCTCTAAGAGTTGCCTAAAAGATTTTTTAGGGTCATGTCAAGCTAAAATCAAATTCTCTATGTCTATAAAATAATAAGGTTATCTTAATATTGTTCTGCTCTGAGTAACGTCTGCAGAAAACTGTTATAGATAAAGATTTTATCAAAGAAATTACTTATATTTTCTGTTGATCTTGTCAAGCTTTAAGTACTACTAAATCAGAGTTCATTTATGTATTTGCTCATGTGTCTTAAATGACCACCTTATAACTGTGTGGTGTCTGTACTTTATCTAAATATGGTACAAACATTTACAAAGTTAAACGTGTCAATTTATGTAAAATAATGAGCTAAAGCTCTTTTATGCAAAAGTGCTACATTTCACCTACATTCTGACAGTCAGCCCCTGTTTGCCTTTGAAGATCCCACAAACTCTTCACAGCAACTAACCTGGACAGTTTTGCCACAAGGGTTTAAAGACAGCCCTCATCTTTTTGGACTGGCCCTAACCAGAGACTTCTTAGGTTGGCACTACCCAGAGGCCACCCTTCTTCAATGTGTTGATGACTTACTTCTGTGCAGAGCCACAGAGCCCCTCATCTGCAGGGCAACTGAGTCCTTTTTAAAACTTTCTGGCCTCTTGGGGATACACAGTCTCTAAGGACAAGGCTCAATTATGCCTCTCACAGGTCACCTACCTAGGTGTGGTCTTAAAGGGACAGACCCACTCCCTGAATCATGAGGGAATTGACCCAATCCTCCGGAGATTTCTTGGGAGTTACAGGATTTTGCAGAATCTGGATCCCTAGACATGTAGCCCTTATCAGACACCTTTTTATGCTCCTTCTAATATTCCTATTTGGGTCTTGCATAATAAATGCTCTCTCTGGATTTATATCTCAACAGGTCCAACGGATCAAACTCCAGCTTTTAGTCAAGTAATACTCACCTCTGCCTAGGCATGAGTCCTCCAACCCATTCTATCCGGGGGCCCCTAGAGACTACATGGGTCAACCCCTGAGACAAGTACCCTCTCCCCATCCCTCCGTCGCCCCATTGTCAGCACGAAGCAGCTAGATGAATCATTGCCTTCTCGGCCCACCAACCTTCCGGGACTCTATACCTGGAGAAGACTGGCAGGTTGATTTTACTCACATGCTCTGTTTAACTCCATCTTCTGTCCAACTAAGGGATGCCAATCTTCTATCTTCCTTTCCTTTGATACATCAAAGGCCTGCTCTGTCAGTTGTGACCTTTGGCAGCCGTTTTCTCCCAACTTCTTATCATCCCTTGCCTTTTTAGATGCCTCCAGGATTGCCTAGGGCAGCTCAGTGGACAGACTTTCCACCAGATGCTACTACAACCTTCTCTGCCCTACCAACAACTGGCCTTGTCTGCAAATGAAGCCTGGGAATAACCGTCCGCCTCCACTCCTGGGGACCTCACATATTTCCAAAATCCAGCCAAACCCCCCTTAGTGATGCCCCCATCCAGCAGGAAGCAGCTAGATCGATCGGCGCCCATAATACCAACAAAAGGCTGGAATGTGAGGTCCCTGGCATTCTTGGGGTGGGCAGAGAGTCCTAAGGCTAACACCAAAACCGGACCCTCTGATTTATGACCACTTGCAAAACTCCCCTGCTTGTTTCCCTGCTTGCAAAACCACAGGAACTTCCAGTTTCTCAACTAGCTAGGCATGTCGACCTGTTCCATCTGGTGATCACAGATAATTGGGGACCAGTGGCCTGGCTGTTCTCTGAGAGAAACACTTTCCCTCCCTTACAGTGTAGCCCCTCCTATAAAGCCCACTACCCACTCTAGCTGAGCTGCTTCATTCTGAACCTGAGAGACAGGCCGGCAGTCTATGCTTCCAGTAAATCTTTCTTTTCTACACGTGGCATGGTCTTTATTTGGCAGTAACTTACAGTACTGGAGTTTGAACTCAATGGGCCTCACACTTGCTAGACAGGCATCTATCACTTGAGCCATATCCCCAGTTCTGGTGATACTTTTTAATTATTCAGTTTTGTTGTTGTTTGAAACAGGGTCTTGCTATATAGTTCATGCAGACTTTGAATTCATAATCGTTCTACTTCAGCCTCACAAGTTCTGGGACTATAGGTGGTGGACACCACCATGCCCAGAAATTATTTAGTTTTTAAGACTGGATTGTCTTAATGGGTGCTGGTAGCTCAGGTCTATAATCCTAGCTACTTGAGAGAGTAAGACTGGAAGGATTCTAGTTCCAGGGCAGCCCAGGGGGAAAAGTTTGCAAGACTCTCATCTCAATAGAAAAAAGCTGAGTGTGGTGGTGTGTGCCTGTCAACCCAGTCAGGCAGGAAGTGCAAAATAGGAGGATTGCAGTTCAGGCCAGCATGGCAAAAAGCAAGACCCTATCTCATAAATAACCAGAGAAAAAAGGGCTGGAGGTGTGGCTCAAGTGGTAGAGCAGCTGCTTAGCAAGTATGAGGCCCCATGTAAAAACCCCAGTACTGCAAAAAAAAAAAAAAAAAAAAAAGATAATTGTTTATCTTATCGATATTAGACCAGATGTTCAGTTGGATTTTAAACAGCACACAGAGTTTGTCAAGAATTAGTTAAATGTTCTGTCTGCGCCTAACTCCTTTGTATAAAGCACCTGACTTTCAGGAACAATATCTAAATCACCGCCCTTGAATAAGGCCCATAATGAATTGGGAACTGAGTTCACTTCCTCTGAAGTCTTATCCTCAGAGGGTATGGTTGTTGCTTGTCATCTCTTGGTGACTCATATCTTTTGTGTCCCCAAACATTCCCTGATCTCTAACAGAGGGGTGTTTGTCTCTTACTCTCTATAATAGTGGATTTGCTGCTGAACCCCAGCCTTCACTGCATGTTTAAGCATAGAACTCACCAGTAGCCATGGGTGTCCCTGACAGTATCAGCATGATCATCGAAAGCTTGTAGCCAAGGTCTAACGGCCTCATCTCAGCCTTGTTCCTTGGGTTTGACACAGTACATCTAAGCAGCAATGTACAAAGCTGAGTGTGTAGTAGAGTCCCACTCCAGGACTGTGTGTACACATGCTACTCCTGCTCATATCCACAGTATAGGATGGAGAAGACATACTTGCTCTCCCCAGAGGAGGCTGAATCCTGTCCAACACAGACCAGGACATCCTCTGGGAAGCCCCTACCTGTGTTGCTTCCCTTGATACTGTTGGATCTGGAGACCTAAGGCAGATGAGTGAGTATCCCATCCCCTATGGAGAGCAATATAATTCTTGCATCCTGAGGAGTTAGAGGCCTGCATTCCTGCATTCTGAGAGGGAGTTGTAAACTGCATTTCTGCATCCTAAACAAAGATACAGGGTCTGATAGATCTGCCATAGGGCTGATGAGCAAAATGCTCTCAAGATTTTTTCCCTCCCCCAATAAAGGTGCAAACCAAACCAGTTCACCTGAGAAAGCCCACGAATCCACAGCCAATGAGAAAAACCCACCTAACCCAGAGTTAGAACGTCCATAAAAACCCCAGCCTTCACCTGAGCAACAAGCTACAGGCTTCCGGGCTCCACTGTACTTCTCTAGCTGTAGCTTTTCCTTTCTCTCTAATAAATCCCACTTTATATACCGGCTTTGGCTCATTATTCCCTGGCCTGTGAAGGCAAGGACCCTTGACACCGGCCTGCAACACTTCGTCACTGGCACGTAACAATACCTTCTATCTGGTTAAGAAAACCTGCATGCCTTTTATATCCCCCAATGTATAAATAAACTAGAGGATCTGTGATTAGGCCAGGGATCAGCCTACTCCAGAGCAATCCTCAGTGCCAAGCCTATCAGAACCTTGGTAAAGTGACCAAATGGGTCCAGCTAGGCAAGGTCTTTCTGAGCAGGATCTGGCATAATCAGAGATGAAAAAGGTATCAAGTCTTAATCTGAGGGGGCGGAGTGGGTGGTAAGGGAGGGGGTGGGGGCAGGGGGGAGAAATGAACCAAGCCTTGTATGCACATATGAATAATAAAAGAAAAAAAAAGTCTTAATCTGAATTTCACCTGAAATAACAACCACAGAAGCAATAAAGGAGCAGGTCATATGGGTCTTAGATCATATCTCACTGGATCAGACTATGCTAGAGTGGAAGACAACACCCAAACTCTTTTGCTTGGCCTGTGGTGTGACAAGAGCCCAGGGCTCAATTACAGAACATCTCACCCATCACTTACAGCTCCTGTTCCTTCTAATTTGGGCCCAAGAAATAAGAATGGGACTCAATTGTTCTTCCTGGTGTCCCATTCACTTCCTCTGTTTTACTTCCACAAAGTTATGGGGGCCTCAAATTCCCAGTCAGTGAGAAGTGAGATTATTGTGGGAGGGGTAGACACTGCTCAGTTCCCTGTCCCAGGAAGAGGAAAGATGGCTACTTTTCCTGATGATCAGAAAAGGACATGATCTTTACAAATATTTGCCCATTTGTACTGATTGCTCAAACTTTCAGTTCCAAAAGACACTGGCATTTCCTACATGTCCCTTCCACATTCCAGGTTCAGATCACAAAAGGTGCCATAGAAATACAGAATCAAGAAAGAACTCCAAATTGTGGTTCTGATATAGAAGCAGCTTTTTATTTCTTTTTTTGATTCAAAAATTAACATAAGGCGGCTAGGGGGTTGGGCCAGTGGTAGAACGCTTGCCTAGCATTCCTAAAACTCTGAGTTCAATCCCCAGCAACAAACGTGAAAGTAACATAAGCAAGGTACAGCATTCAGCTGGAGAATTAGAATGTATAAGGGAGATGAATGGGGAAATTAGGTTACTCACAGTATTTGAAAACTAGCAGTCATATGACTTCAGCATTGGGATCAAATATCATGCATCTTTCCTAAGCTGTCAACAACATTTCTATCTACCATGGTCAGTCCCTGTGTGCAGGCCTATTAGAGACACTTGAGAAAGCAAATGTGACACCTGTGAGGCTTTCCCTACCCAAAATAAAATAAACCTGAATATATTTTCTGTAGTAACTCCAGTAAAACACGTTTCAGAACAACTGCAATTCGAACAATAAAGTATATCTGATCTTCTATAGGAATTGTGGCATTTTTCATTTCCGGGCTTTTCATCAATCTCTTGCCTACATCTTCCAATTGTTCCCAAGACTCATCTGTGCATGTCTGAGTCACTTTGACAGCAGAAGTCTTGAACTCTGTTATCAGGTCAGTGGAAGGAAGCTTCTCAGCAAATTCAACCATTAGTGTTGCCATCTCGTGGAGCAATGAGCCATGTTCTGAGGTACATGCCTCAGGCAGGGTAACTGACCGCTGAAACCTCTTAAGGTCCCCTGGGAGATCGCTCAGAATGACCTCAGTGTTGTCAGTCCCTTTGTCTTCATTGTACTTTTGGCTTTCATGGATGAGGGTTTCAGCGATATTCTTCCCTCCCACCCTAGTGAGCTGAAGCTGCAGATTGTGGGCCTCAGTTGGGCAGCCAGCCTCCTCCAGGGCCACCCTCAGAGCTAAGGAAGGGACTGTGTGTAAGAGATTCTGGCAGGTTCTGGGGTCTGGGAGAGGGATATGACTGGACACCACGTTTGGTGGATGCTTAGTTTCTGTGGAAGATGGCTGGAGGGTCAGGGCCTTGCCCTGGGCATTTCTTGGAAAGGTAGTCACTGGGGACCACAAGACCAAGCAAAGCAGCAGCACCGTGTGGATCATGGTGTCAGCAGAACAGCCCTGTTGGAAAGTAGCAGTGCTCAATGGGGGAACTAGGGAAAGGCTCAGGATGAACAGACATCAAAGCTAGTTGGAGCTGGAAAACTTCAGTTACCCTGGACATAGCGTCACCCCCACTCTTAGAGGCTGTGAGGGATCCTCACCTGTTCTGGAAAGCAGCAGCCACAGGATGCTCCAAACACGTCCTCTGCCTCAGTGCTTTCCTAATCTGAGCAGCTAGAGATCTTACTTTTTTACCCTAGTCAAATGGTTGATGCTTCCAAAAACTACAAACATTCACAAATATTTACGACCTCTTCCTGGGCCAGACTTTGTCCTTCTCACCTTTGCCCCAATCTGACAAACAGACTTCCTCCTTTGTGGCTTCTGCTTTTTCTGGCTCATATCCCTGTCACCGTAAGAACTTACCAAGACATAAACTTGAGACCAGACGAGGTTCCAGGCAAGAGGTGAGGGGAAATGCAGGGATCCAAGTGACTTCTATATAGGAGACTCTAATGTAGTTCTTGTTCTAAGGACTTAACAGGTGAAGGACTGGGAGAATAGAACAATTCAGACCAAATCCGAGCAACTTTTCCGTTGTTACCCTTTTAATTCCATTGTAATACCCAAACCAAACACATTTATTACGATGCTAGGATGTTTAGGTCTACAGAAATTGGGCTTTACTTCTCATGTAGGGGTAACTGCAGTCTGGAAAGCAGAGAAAAATAGGATATGAGTCTTCCTAAACTGATAAAAAGACCATAGGTGACTGTACCATAAAGGTTCCTCTGTGGTACTATGACTCACTTCTAGCAGACAAAGGGAAACAGGTTCCAGGATGAAGAATTCCAGGATTCCTATTTCACTCCTTAGTCCATAGGAAGGGCACCTAACCACCAAGAAGAAATTAATGTGAATATTTTTGGTGGTACTGAAGTAAGGCCTCATGCTTGCCAAGCAGGCACTCTACTACTTTAGCTACTTCACCAACCAAGAAATTAAAAACAAAGCAAAACGAAAAATGGTTTCCAGAAGAGTAAGTCTTCAGGGACTCACTGAGATAAACTAAAATTGTGAAGGCTGAAACTCCTGGGGCTAAATCCATGAGGAATCTCAATTATTGCTTCTGTACTATTCAGGGGAGTTTTTGAATCTCATCTAATTCTCCAACTTGAATTCACCACACATAACTAGGCCTATCTCCACTTGTGGTCTTCTGGCTCTTTAGTTGAAACCGTCATCCTCAACGTGAAATTGCCTTTTCTTTGAAACTCTTTGAATTGTCAACTCTTGTGCTTGGGGAATGAAGAGACTGAATGTGAACTTATGGTAGGAGAGAAAGTGGGGGTGTTTGTTTCCAGAATTGAGGAGTGAATTATTAACAGCACTGGTTCATTCTGTGACTAGAAGACTTCCAAATTCTTTGTGTGTCCTCCACCAACCCCAACCCTGAGAAGAATACAGGGCAGGATACGTGGGTATAAATGGAGTTTATTAAAAGTAAGGGAAGGAAATACAAAAAGGAGCATGGTGGGTGTAGGTGGAATCTGCAGGCCGAGAGAGCGTGCTTTTCTTCTCTAGGTGCTTTTAAAACTTACCCTAAGAAAAAAAAAAAAACCCCAAAAAACCCTTACCTTAACCTGTGGTAAGGGAGGAACCAAGTGATTCTCATCCAATAATTAATGAGTGGGGAAGGGAATGGGCAGTTTTGGCCAGGTGGGGGTGGTCCCTGAGCCACAGCGTGGTCAATCCAAAATGCAATGTTAAGTCATGTACTTTTTTATGAGTCCTGACCTTTCCCTAATTCTAGCCTGCCTTAGAATGAGAGATAAAGACAAAGACAGGTCCCCCCAACCAGACTTCCTACCTTTGCTCCTTCCCACATCTTCTACCAATGCTCAGAGGCTGTCACTTCTTGGGTGCTGCTTTTTATTAGTTTTTAATTAGTCGCATATATTTTAGAGCAGTGGTAGGCTTATAAAGAAATCAAGCAGAAAATAGTCCCCATATGCTCCTTATTCCTTCACCCAGCTGTCTTCCATTATTAACATCTTACTTTGGTGTTGTGTATTTGTTAAATTGATTATCATACTTTTAAATTTATTATTTACTCATAGGGACCTTCAGTTCCCCATTTCTTTATGCTGATTGAGAAAAACAGGGTAACTTGACTGTTGTGTGACCTGGCAGAGGAGCCTTGCACATTTCCAGGCACAGAGGTGTTTAGATTGTTGTTTGATACAATGGGATAAATAAACATGTTACCAAACACATGGAAAGCACCCCTGGTCCTTAGCCACATTCTTTAGATCCTCATGGACACGCCATAATCTGACACCCTCATTATAGACAGTTCTAACCAAAGTAAGTGATGTGGACTGACCATCCTATCATTTAATGTTTTTTTTGGAATTCCATCTGATTCCATTGGTACAATTGTTACAGTTTTCCTTGTGGAAAGGACCCTGGAGCTATTTTGGAAGTAACTGCAGCCTTGGATTAAAATAATTTTTATTTTATTATCATGTATTTTCTAAAATCCATAGTTTACATTAGGTTTCATTTTCTGCATTGTTCAGTTCAATGGGTTTTGCAAAATACATGTCATATATCCAAGTTTCAGATTCATAGAGTATTTTCTCTGCCCTAGAATTCTTGGATGCTGATTTTAGCTATCCTTCCCCATCAGCTTTGTCTTCCACTGAAATAAGCACTGAAGTTGCTCCATTAGTTTCCTAGAGACACACTGCTGGGGCATAGTAAGGACTCAACAAATAAGCTTTCCTGGTTTTGTTTTTTTTGTGGTACTGGGGCTTGAACTCAGGGCCTTCACCTTGAGCCACTCCACCAGCCCTTTTTGCGATGGGTATTTTCAAGATAGGGCCTCGTGAACTATTTGCCCAGGCTGGCTTTGAACCATAATCCTTCTGCCTCCTGAGTAGCTAGGATTACAGACATGAGCTACAGGTGCCCGGTATCCCATCATTATTGTTTGGGGACACCAGGTCTGCCCTGCTTCTGCTGGCTAACAACAGAGCACTCGCTCTGCAGATTCAACTTCTAGCTCTGGATGAGAAGTTTCCACCTCAGCTGGGTGATTCAAAGAAGCTTCTAACTTTCCTCAGATTCTGCTCGTCTGAACTCCATAGGATGTTCTCCTATGAGGAAAAAGAATTTGAAAATGGCAGCAAAGAGAAAGGACCAGCCTCTAGTCTTCAAATTGTTAGTATTCTTACTAAAAATTGCCTAAGGGCGGGGGGAAAGGGGGGAGAACATTGTATGCACATATGAATAAAAGAAATGTAAAAAAAAAAAATTGCCTAAGTGGGAGCCAGTGCAGGTGGCTTACACCTGTCATTCTAGCTACCCAGGAGGCAGACATCAGGAAGATTGTGGTTCGAAGCCATCCCAATCAAATAGTTCATGAAACCCTATGCTGAAAAAATCCACCACAAAAAAGGACTGGTGGAGTGGCTCATAGTGTAGGCCCTGAGTTCCAACTCTAGTACCACAAAAAAAAAAAAAAAAAAAACCAAACTAAACCAAAAAAACTGCCTAAGGGAGGGGGGGATAAAGGAGAATGATGGAGGGGGTGAATTCAAGTATGATATATTTGATACATTGTAAGAACTTTTGTGGATGACACAGTGTACCCCCAGCACAATAAAAAAAGATGTTAAGATGAGTATACTTGACAATAATGCCACAATAAATCTAAAAACTTCATCTAAAAAAGATAAACAACAAAAAAACCAAAACAACTGCAGTGGTGAAGCTCTACAGGTGCTGGAATTTTATTTTTAAAGTTTTATTCACCCATGTATGTATGCCTTGCCTTTGGGCAATCACTACCAATTGATTAAATGATTGCCATACAGGAGGAACATACACAATGGTCACTAACTTATGATGGCTTGTCTTCCCATTTTTCCACTTTACAATGGTACAAAAGCGATAGTTATTCAATAGAAAGCATACTTCAATTTTGACCTTTCCCTGGCTAGTGCAATGAGCGGTATGATACTCTTTCAGCAATACTGGCAGCAGTAACTCCCAGTCAGTCACATGGTCACAATGTACTGTCAACTAACCTTTACAGTGCACTGTGCTGCCATTGGTTCTTGGATAATGTGTTTTATTTCCACATCCCAACATGTCTATCAAATGTGCATGTGTGTATACCTGAGATATTTCACACATTATAATACAAATTGTGTTTTAGATGATTTTGCCCAACTACAGCTAATTTAAGTGTTCTGAGCTGAGGCTACCTTAGCTTGGCTGGCTTGCCTTAAATATTTGGCAGGTGTATCAGATATATTTTTAACTTAGAATATTTTCAATTTATGGTAAATTTACTGGCATATAATCTGTAAATTGAAGAGCATCTAAATGTATTAAGTGGATGTATTAATGAATGTATGCTTGGGAACTAAAGGTGAATAAAACATGACTCTTGCTTACGAGAAGCTTAGTGTAAGCAAGGTGTGTTGTTGAATATCTATAAGCCCAGCACTTTGAGGCTGAGGCAAGAGGATGAATTTAAGGACAACCAGGGCTAGAAAGTGAGACTGACTCAAAACACAAAACCTGCTGGGCGCCGGTGGCTCATGCCTGTAATCCTAACATCAGGAGAATTGAAGTTCGAACCAACCTGGGCTAATAGTTTGAGAGACCCTATCTCAAAAAAACCCTTCACAAAAAAAAAAAGGGCTGGTGGAGTGGCTCAAGGTGAAGGTTCTGAGTTCAAGCCCCAATAATGGGAGGAAAAAAAAAAAAACCCACTCAGGCTTCTGGAAAGAATAGATAGAACACTAAAATACTGTAAGACTGTCACTTTCTCAGGATAATATATAAATCCCAGCCACAAAAGTGATTACTTGTGTTTTGAGGCTCAAAGAGTGACAAGAGACTGCTTCACAAAAGTAAGCATATTTGAGTTCATTCCTGAAGGGTGGGGTCAATGTTGGACAGAACTCTCCAAAAGAGGGTCTGGC